GGGGAGAGACATGCAGACAGACAGACAGACAGACAGTTAGTTTTAGTGAGTTTTACGGCGCTCGCAACAGCATAAGATCATATGAGCGCCTGGAGATTAGAGGTGTTACAATAGAGTAACAAACATAAAAAAGAAAAAGGGGAGATACAGACGACAGATGTTTGATAGGAAAGAAGAAGCAAACCACACCAGAGCACCCGCCAACCAACCACAAACAAAGAGACTTAGAGACAGACAGGCAGAAAGACATACAGCCGTAATTCAAAAGGTGTATAGTATCCAAGAGTGCGTCCCTTACCTGATACAGATCGCAAGTGGCGCCATAGCTGGGCACAATGCTCAGCCCAAGACTGTCCCCAGCCTCCCGGAACACCGTCACGTCTAGTTTGAGAAATCCGCGGGGCGTGACCTCCCCTTCCTCACGATAGCTCGCGTCTTCCGTGGCAACCCAGGAACCGTCCGCGGTGTCCTTGAAGTACTTCCGGGGCGGAGGCACTGGCGGGGGACCACGCGATGTCTTTCGTTTCGAAGCAGCTGCCAGAAGGTTTTGGTCAACAGTATCGTCAGGCATTTGTGATGTCTCAGTGGCCGAGGCACGGGAGACAGTGAGGATGACTTTTTCGGGCATGTCGGCCAACAGAGCGATACACTCGTCGTGAGTCAGTTCAGTCAGCGGCCGGCCATCCACCTCTTTGATGTGGTCACCCACTAGAATGCTGTGTCCGGCCTGACAGGCCCGCGCCGCCGCGCCCCCTGGCGTGATGGACTTGACCACAACCGATTCAATCGGTCGCCGATTCTCCTGGTCGCCTTCGATGCCCATGACCATACCCAGGTTCTCGCCCGGGAGTCGGTTCAGGTACACATACTCCATTGTATCATTTTCGGGTGACCCTACCTGGTCCCTGGAAGACTCTTTGGAGTCTAAGTGCTGCTCAGAAGTTGTCATGTCGCTTTTTGTTAAGAAAGGGTTGGAAAGACTCACATTGCTGTTACTTGTTGCTTTGATGGCCGGCTCAGACGACAGGAGGTCCGCTGCAAAAGGATTTGTAGTGTTATACGGGTTTGAGTGTTGGTTAGCTGGCGAGAAGGGGTTGGTTGTTGGGCTGGTTGCTCGGAAAGGATTCGACGGGGACTGTAGCACCGCAGGGGCAAGAATTTCCGTGTCGTAAAGAAAAGGATTTGATGAGCTGAGATTAGCAGATGCGTTGGAACTGAGTGGGGACGAGACACCGCGTGACGGAGTGTTGGAGTGTTTTGGCCGGTACTCAGCTGGCAGGTCGGCATCGGTGTGCACTCCCTTTGGAGTTGGAGAGAAGTCGTTATTTGCGCGATCTGAATTTTCTGTGATAGAAATAAACGTGTCTTTACTGTTCTGGTCTGATTCCCACGACTCCATTGTCAGCTAAATGAATGGAAATGCAGTTCAACAATGCTGAAATCCCAGCTAAATACTATTTCAAATTTGATAAGACTCCGTCCCCTTCGTCGCAATTATTCTTGAATATATATTCAACGTATCGAAACACCATTCACATGTACTCTGGGGAAACCTCCGAAAACTGCGCAAGGGGGCAAACAGCAGGCAAAGCACAGGAACTCACATCCAGCAAATGTTCCAGTGAAATAACATCTCGTGATAAATTATTATGAAGAACGGCGTTTGACCCAACGGTCCCCGTCCGTCCTGCAGGCACCAGGAAGAAATCAAGTGGCTGGCAATCCGCTTTACCTCCGAAAATCGGCCTTCTCATCGAGGTCATGGCATCGACCCGTACTCACGCTGGCCCTGGCTCGAAAGCTCGTCCTTCGGTCTCATGACACACCTGGAACGGACAAAAGAGGTACTCAATACAAAGCAGAAAAAAAAGTTCAGTGTGGTGAGGCGAGGCAGCGGCCCGAACTGGACGATAGAACGAGGAGAAAGGTAGGGGGGGGGATGAAAATTGTAATAGAGGCAGGGGGAAACGGTTTTTCTCAATTTTTCATTATTTATACTTATAAGCACTCTTACTGGTATGAATGAGAACGAAAATTTGGAGAAAACCCTTTGACGCACAAATGGCAAAAACAGAAAAGCATATGAAATGACACAAATGATTTTCACCTGACATTGTTTTTATCTCAATTTAAAAATTTGACTATACTGATTATGACTATAAGCCAGGGAAAAGGAGAGATACGCACATAAAAACAAACAAACAAACATACGAACGAACGAACGATTGAACAAACGAACTAACGAACGCACGCACGAACAAACCAACGAACAAGCAAACAAATAAACAAACACACACAAAGATAGAGAGAGAGAGAGAGAGAGAGAGAGAGAGAGAGAGAGAGAGAGAGAGAGAGAGAGAGAGAGAGAGAGAGAGAGAGAGACGAGACAGAGACAGAGAGCGAGCGAGAGAGAAACAGACGGACAGACACACAGGCACGCGGACAGACGGAGAGGGACCCTAATCTGTCTCCAAAAACAAAGGCTTTAAAATTTATAGCCAAACGCTATAAAAACATGATATTACATTTGCTTCTCTGGTAAAAAAAAATAAGCATTGGAGAGAATTATAAGAACCAAGTAAGGAGAAGTTACAAATTCACGTTTTGGAAAATAACCACAACAAAACTTCAAGATTAAATAAAACTACTACAGTGTACGTTGTAAATTTCTATAATTAATTTGTCCGTTTAGGGTAGGCAAATAGTCCGTACCCTGCTAGTATGCCACGGTGTAAAAATGAAACTAAACTGTTCCACATGAGGGAGCATGTTTTGATGTGTATCCAGACAAAACACATGGCGGTTTACCCAATTTCGTTAGATAAAGAATCAACTCGCCCGCATACGTTTGAAAACAATACCGGTGAGAAAAATATAATATAGATTCAATACACAGAGCGGCACGCCATCGATCGAGCAATCAAAACCACAAAAGCTCTGGTCTGTGGCAGTCAGGTTGTGACATTGAAGCCTGGGCCGAAGGTTCGGCATAGCTCAGCAACCGTGTAGCGTGCGAAGCTTGCAGACACAGAACATGTATGATGTCTGACTGAGATAAAAACAGACACAGACGGAAAGGAGAAAAAGTATGTCTACGTTATGAAGCGAGAGATGTTCAAAGCTGGGCACAAGCGGAGGGAGGGAGGGAGAGGGGGAGAGAGAGAGAAGGGGGGATAAGGAGGGGTCTACATGAAGCCAGATTGGTTCAAAGATGAGGGCAAGGAGAGGGAGAGG